GTGCTCATCACTTTCCCTTCCTGCCTCCAGGTGCCTTTGGGATTTGTTGTCCACAGTTGCAGCCGACATTAATTAAGCCAGCAGGTCAGGGCAGGTCCATACTCTGGGGAAGGTGAGTTTAACACCTTCCCTGGCCCCAGACCCCAGCCGGGGTTTGCTTGGAGGGGGCAGTGAGCAGCCAGCAAGGCCAGTTAGCCAGCCCTTGCTGCACCAGCTAGGGAGCAGAGGGGCAGGGCCAGCTTTGCTCTCTGGAGCAGACAGCACAGTCCAGTCCAGGGCTGGAAAGCATTCTGGCATGCTGGGGGACTCTGAGTTAACTTGAAGCAGGAAGGGGTCTGGGATAGAAGTTTCATAAACCAGTTGGACCTAAATCAGTTAAGTCTGATACTACATTCAACCAGGTTTATCCTGAACCAGTTTCAGCCATTTTGAAACGGGTTTCTGTGTACTGAATTTGCGTTCTGTTACAGGATTAAACCAGTTTCTGATCACTTAAACCGGTTTATGTGCAAATTCTGTCCCTAGCCCTGGAGTACTGTGTTCAGTTTTGGGTCCTCTACTACAGGAAGGATGTGGACAGATTGGAGAGAGTCCAGCAGGGGGCAATGACTAGGCCAGATGCTTTATGAAAAGAGGGCAACGTAACTGGGCGTATTTAGTCCGCAGAAGAGAAGACTGAGGGGAGATTTGATCGCAGCCTTCACCTACCTGAAGGGTGGTTCCAAAGAGGATGGAGCTGAACTGTTCTCAGTGGTGGCAGATGACAGAACAAGGAGCAATGGTCTCAAGTTGCAGCAAGGGAAGGTTAGGTTAGAGATTAGGAAACCCTTTCTTACTAAAAGGGTGGTGAAGCACTGGAACATGTTACCTAGAGAGGTTGTGGAATCTCAATCCTTGGAGACTTTTAAGGCCTGCCTTGACAAAGCCCTGGCTGGAATGATTTTGTTGGGACTTGTCTTGCTTTGATCAGGGGTTGGATGAGATGACCTCCTGAGGGGTCCCCTCCAAGCCCAATTTTATATGATTCTTTGAAAAAGGAATTAATGACTACGCTAACAAATCAATAAACTTCAGAGTTCAGCAACTCAAAATTAGGTAGATTATCTAAGAGTTTCTATAATGCCAATCCTTGCAGAATCTAAGTAATGTTTTGGTTCCAAATAATCCAGGTATACAGAAGAAATTATGTTAGTTTTATGGTTAGTAAACTCATTTTACCTTTTTTCAAATAGAAGTGTGAACTTTACTTAGTGCAGCTAGGTAACAGCATATACAAAGGAGCTGAAAAATTGACATCAATTTAGGGAAAGAAATGAGGAGGAAATGTTCTGGGAACATTTGTTATATTAGGATGAGTGATGTGGTGATAAAAGAAATGTTCTTGGCATTTAAAAATTTTACAGGGACAAGACTGAGGGGAGAATGTTCAATGCATTGTCCGTAGTCTCTTGGGTAAAATCCTATACTTCTGCTGTCTCATGTATTTGTGCCAGCAACACAAAAATTTGGACATAAAATCTTTCCAAACTGACACATCATATTCATGTTGTGTGTGGACTACATCTGCATTTTAAAATGTGCTTTAGCATAGAAGATAAGTGAAAAAATTCAGCCCTTAAACATTATCTGAATCTCCCTAGAATTCCACTGCCTAGAAGAATGACCACTGCTGTGATATGGCCATAATTGTCTATTTGGGTATAAAAATGATAAAAGTGACCTTGAAACTTATCTGTGAGTTCAGGATACCTGAAGTCTGTTTGCTTTTTCTTCATGGAAGGCAAAGTATAGACTGATCTTAAAAACTGCTCTGTGGCTGTTCTTAATTCATACAGCTATAATTAAACCATGTGTCATCCTAGATCAAGAAGTTATGAAGTGAGAGTAAGCACACAATTAATAGGTAAAGTCAGGAGTTTACTAACCTTGAAAGTGTGCTGAATAATAAATATTATGGCTTTCATATGTTTAAACAAGAACAAATTTTAAACTAAATGATTTATAAATATTAGTAGTACGGTGCTGGGTTTGGCCCAAATTATATAATGTATGGCAACAGGAACAGAGCTGTGTAGAAATACAGAAAGTAGTAATGTCAAATTAATGCTCAGATGCACCACAGTGATGGGTTTCACTGAATTAGACAAATAATTATCCTGGAAAATAATAAATTACAATTTTGTTCCAGCAGTTGTTTTCACCTAACTGTTCTCAATTGCGTTTGTCATTTTTAATGGATATGTAGAACTTCTGATATTAGAATTAAATTCTGTATGGAAGTCAGAGATGCTTTTCTATTACTCTAAGATACAGAGGGATGCGTCTTTTATAAGACTATCTTATTTTATGTACGACACAATTGTTCTCAAGGTAATAGGAAAAATACCAGCCCCCATGACGCATATTGTTGCAACTGGCAGAGGCTTTTGATGTAATATAAGCATATTTAAGAATAAGTCTGTAGGCAGTAAGAAAGCTCCAAGTTGTGCAATAGGCATCTGCCAAATGTGAGTTTAGAAGATTTTCTTTATCCAGTGCATACTTCAGTGTACCAGCTTCCCATTGATCATTAAACCAGGTTTAAAACTCTCAGACATTTAGTCCTCAAGGAGAACAGGATCCCTAGATTCTTTCTTCATAGCATAAGGAAGAGAAACATGAGAAAAGCAAATTGAAATTCTGGGCGATTCCTCTCCACCAAGGAGAGAACTTAACTAATTGAGAAAACTGACCTTGACTTGCATAGTAGGGTTGAATTGTTGCTGTAGCCATGATGATCTAGGACAAGGGTTTTCAACCTTTTTTTATAAGTGTACCACTGGTGGCCGAACGCAGAGCAGGGGGGAGGGGGGACTGGCATGTAGCCAGACACAGATCAGCGGCAGTGAGGGGTTGTGGTGGCGACAGCTGTATGCAAGCTCTGTCCCACCCCCGCTCTCCCCCCATGGCCGGCCAGAAAGCACAGCTGCCGTTGCCCTGCTCCTGGGAGGTGGTGCCGCCGAGTGGTGGTGGCATGACTGCCATGTGCAAGCTTCCCCCTCCCTGCCCCCACACCTGCATCTGACTGGCTGGGCAGCACCTGTGTCCTGGGAGGCAGTGGCATAGGGTGGTGAGTGTTGGTGCTCCATCCCCACCTGCCTGCATGGACCCCCTATGGCCTTCCTAAGTACCCCCGGGAGTACGCATACCCCTAGTTGACAACCCCTGATTTAGGAAATATGTCAGGAGCAAGTTTTTGGGTTTTTTGGAGCTGAATCTTTTTAAGGGCTTTTAAGGGCTTCTCTATACCATACCTGCCCTAACGTAAAAGGGCGAAAGAGAGTGATGGTCTTGCCTGGTGACTACAAGGCCAGAAGCTAATATCCTCCAAAATAACTTTAGGTAAGTGTTTAGCATATCATCTTTATATGATCTTTGTGTGATAATTCACTGATTTGAGAAAAGAAAACATTTATAAAAGGAGGTGATTTAGGTGTTCTAAATATAATTTATAATGTCACAGTTCTTTTTCTAGGAATAATTCTGTGAATAAAGCTGAGGCTTTTAGGGTAACCAGAGGTCTATGCATGTTCTGATGAATGTTAGATTGTTTTTAGTATAAATATCTTAAAGCAGTTCCCTAGTTGAACTTAGTTATTGAGTTACTCTCTCAGTCTTTGGTCCAAAACATGTTTAATTTATGCAAAGTGGAATAGCTCAAAAAGGAGAGATTGAGAGGCCCATTCCAAGTAGTCATTTGTCTGGTGATTAGTACACTTACATGGAGATAGGAGGCCAAGATTTAAGTCTCTGGTCTGAATCAGGTGCATTAAGGACTCCAGCCTTGTTTTACCCATCCCAAGTCAGTGCCCTTACCACTAGATGTGCTTTTTTGTATTTTTACCAAAAATTTTGTTCTTGTTGATATTGATAGGTACATTTTCACAAAAGTGTTCTGGCTTTCACAAATCAGTGTTTTCTGATGAGAAATTGTTAATCAGAATTCTTGACCAGCTTTATTTTCCCTGACATGTTTGGCCACTTATAGGAAGGGAGAGGATGTTATGAACTGCAACCCCTTATACAATGGTAGGTGGGAAGTTGGGTGGGTGGAGTGGTACAGTGTCAGTCTCACTCACGGGCCCCTGTGTGTGGCTTATCTGACATCTCTGTGTTGTCTTCATTTTCTCTCAAATGTGTCTCTACTTTATTTTTCTATATCCTTGGAATTTAGTTCTCCTTTCTTCCAGTATCCAATTTCTGGCAGTGTTCAATAGCAAAAGCTTTAGAAGATGTTTCTCTTGTTTACATTGGCATAAATCCAAGGAAATTCATTGAATGCAGTGAAGGTCTCGGGTAAACAAGGGATATATTTTTGTGTAAAGTATATATTAATTTTCTTGTATATCACTGTTGTCAGTGATCGCTTCCCTCTGCCACCACCTTCCCACCAGCTATAATAGCATCTCCTATGAATCCTTAAGTCCTGTGGGAATGAGCCATCTGTATCCCTCTAAAATATAATAGATTGCTGAGGGGTGATGTTGAAAATGTTGCTGTATATGGAATGGATTTATTCTGTCTCCATTCCTTAGGAGGGCATGGAGAGAGAAAGAAAGAATGGTTGTTAATATTTTTATAATTTTATTTTGCATGTTGTTACAAAAATAATATTCTTAAATTTTATACTAAATTCCTGGAGACTGTTTGGGATAATAATAGGAATTGAAACAATACGTTTGCATGGTGTAAAGTGCTTTAATGGGTTACAGTATAAATTGGTATTAAAAAAATGAGTAAAAAGTTGGAAGTCTGAATTTTGAAAAATAGAAGGACATCTGGAATGCGTTAGTCACAACATCTGGCCTCTTGTTCTATAGTTTTTAGTTATTTACCTCTCACTAAGTTTCTGTGTATAGGATTAAAGGTTAGATAATATAGAGATTACAAAAGCAATTTTGAATTAAGCATAGTCTTCATGCTACTTTGGGAAAACTGAACTTTTATCTTTTATCTTCAAGGGAAATACATGCAGATGATGAACATTCTGAAACCAATTGCATTTGATGTGATCCACTTCATGTCCCAACTTTTTGATTACTATCTATATGCAGTATATACATTTTTTGGCCGAAATGACACGGTAGGTAGAAAGTATTATTCCTTTTTAGAGTACCAGTGGTTTACATTGTGCTGTACTGATAAGATCTCTGTTCCAAGAAGAGTATAGTACTAAGTATATGGTGAGAAGGAGGGAAGACTAATAGGCTCAAGAAAAAAGGAAAATGTCATTAGGGAAATTTCATTTTTACAAGAAATATTGGTTGTTTTCTATTATTGTTTCTTGTTTTAATTTTTCTTAATTGGTGGTTCCTTCCCCTCCCACCCCTCTCCTGCCAATAATGCTACCCAAGAGAGAACATTCAGCATCTGAGATTAGGGTCAGAAAATCAAAGCCTGGAAAAAAAGATAGGGCTTGATGCATAGGAAAGTTGTGGCTCTCCCAGATGCAGAAGGAGGCATAGAAAAAGTTATGTAGTCATGAGTAGTGGAAAGAAACAATGAACGTTAAAGAGAAGCAAGGAGATTATGGGATATGTGAGTGAAGGTGGTTGAAGACCAGCTGAACAAGTGGCCAACTTGAGCTATTATGAGCTTTGAAGTACGTTGCTCTTCAGATCTTGTACTTCCTTTTTAATCTAACCTTTTATCTAATGAAAGTATCATTTTGATGGATTTTTTTTTGCTGGAAAAGTAGATGGGCATCAACAGTGTCTGTAATAACATAAATCAACTCTTTGCAGAATTGCTGTAGAGAAACATTTATAAAACTAATAAATATATTAAAAAATGGTTCCATGAGCAATAACAGTCTAGGTTTCCAGGTTAATCATAATTCTTTGGCAGATACCAGATGGATTCACAGATTCTCAACATCTGGTTTTAAATAGGTTTGAGCTGTTCTCTTTGGCAGAACAAATGTATCTGGGATTTGTTTATGTCTGGAAGATGGGCGGTAAATACATTTTTTAAAGGTAATTGTTTTTTTTTTTATGGCTTAATCAGCTGTTCTGTTACTCTTATTGCCTTGCATTTATTTTTTGTACCTCCTGTTTTTTGTTGTTGTTTTTTTTTAAAGCCCTTACCAAGTTCCTCACTTTCCACATCTAGCAGGGAACAACACAGTGCTAGGCAGGTAAACATTATAGCTGATGGCTAAAAATGTGTTGTTACTGTAGTGTGTCTACTTGTTGTTTTGGCAGTTTTTCATGGGAAACATACTGCTTACAAAGGGTCTATAATAAACCCTCTTGTAATGCACCTCAGTGTCCTAGCTTACATAATTTTTACAGTCCTTGAAGTAGTGAAGATGGGTGGTGGTATGTGATTTAGACCATTAACATTCATTCTTGTTAAAGCACACTGGTATGCTTCCTAAAAGTATGATGATCATGTGTGGCCTGAGCTTACTGTGAACTTTGAGTCTATGCTATGTTTTAATTAAAGCGCGCACACAAATGACTAGGAAAGCTATTAAATGCACAAGCAGTAAAATAGATTTTACCAGTTCAGAAAATGGCATCTAGACATTCTATTTGGGTGACTCTAGATGCATTATGTCCAGTCGTGGGTGATTTACATAACTCACCATTTCACTAATTTTCCTATTCCACAATGGTTTAAGTTGATTATAGAAAACTTACCTCATCTACTTGAGTACCTATTCTCTGATGCAGTACCATTTGTGATGAACTTTATTTGTGCATCCTTCTCACTTTTGGAGTACTCATTGAAGTTATTCTTCTTACCCTTCTCTAAATTCATGGGAAAGCCAGAAGCACTTAATCTCAGTAATTTGCAATTGTTACTTGCAGGCTAATGAATTTATGTAGTAATTAAGTGAATAGACAGGAATGTAGTAGCACTAAGTAACATGATAACTTTGCCACTTGAAGATTACTGTGTCTTTTCACATGCAGCATGCACCTTTCCTCCCCAAATCAGTCCCCCAAATTCAACGTGTATATATGAAGTGGGGAAGCTGATTTTCAACTCCAGGATAAATGCATTGTGGTTTGATTCCTGCTCCACAAAGCATCAGCTATTGCCGTATTATTTGGAGAGGTCTCTTGCCTCCAGTTTCGCAGCCTTGGAAACTTTTTAGCCCTTTCCAGACTCACATATCCACCCATGGACACCAGTGTTCAGCAACAGCTAGGGAAGGTGAATCGGCTAAAAGGGAGGACGAGTCAGTTGAAGACTTGGCTCTGTGCAGCCAAAACTCTTAAACTCCCCCCCC